TCCGCCCGTTCCGGTTTGCCCGCCTGTCTAAGTCCGCCGCCCCCCGCAAAGAGAAATAGTCCCCCCAAAGGGGATGTGATCGAAGACAAAAGGGCGGGTATCGAGGGTGTGGGGAATTCGTCTTGAATGACCCACGGCCAAGTAAGAGCGAACAGTTTTATAATGTTTGTTGTTGTTGTTGTTGTTGTTGTTGTTGTTGGTTGACACGTGACCTTGTTGCCCGCCCCCCCCCAGCAAACAGCAACCAGCAATCAAAAATTCATTTCACCACACCCTTCTCGAGAATCCAATATGATCGCATAGGATTCCTATACAGTCCCTATACGATTCCTATAGGATCTTATAGGATCGCATGGGATTCCTATAGAATCCTTGTAGGATCGGTAAAGGGTCCTATAGGGGCGCAGTGGATTCCGATGCAATCCCTATACGAGTCCTACAGGATCCTACAGGGTCGCACAGGATTCCTATACAACCCTTACAGGATTTCCTTTTAGTAACCTATACGATCGCATGGGATGTTTGTGTAGTCCCTTTAGGTCTGTTTCCTATAGGGTCCGAGAGCATCGCATGGGATTCCCATGTATTCCCTATACGATTCCCATCGGATCCAAAAAGATCGCATACGATTCCTGTACAATCCCTATTGGATTTTTATAGGATCCTATAGGATCGCATGGGGTTCCCATCGAATCCTTGTAGGATTCCTATAGGGTCCTATAGGATCGCATGGGCTTCCCATTGCAATCCCTATACGGTTCCCATAGGACCCTATAGGATCGCATGGGATTCCTATACAAGTCCTATCAATCCCTATACGGCTCTTATAGGATCCGACAGGGTCGCATATGATTCCGTCACACTCCGTCTACGATTCCTATAGGATCCTACAGGATCGCATGGGATCCGTATAGGAGCCCTACAGGATCCTATAGGATCCTATAGGATCGTGTATGTATTCTAATCCCTATACCATCTCTATAGGAATCGTGTAGGGTTCTATAGGATCATGTAGGAGCCGATACATTCCGGAGCTTCGCTGGTGCAGACATGGGAACACTGCATGAAGGAGGATTTCACACCCTTTTACGCAAGCGACGTTACAGCGGAGCGAGGACTGGAACCCGAGGTTGTTGGTGGCTGGTTGCAGGAGGGGTTGCTTACTCCCGGGAAGCAAGTGCACGGGTTGTCCTTTCAGGACAAGCACTGACCAAGTTTCCCGGTGAACGGGCAACAAGGTCGCGTGTCAACCTGGTTGTTGCTGTTGTGGTTATTGTTGTGGTTGCTGTTGTTGCTGGATCGTGCATCCAGGGCTTGGGAGCTGGCAGAACTCCAATCGTGGATCCGACATGGCCCTCACCGCCCCGCCCTCTTCAACTCTGGGACCCTCTTGGGCCTGAAGCCTCTCGGGCACCCGCCGCGACCCCAACGTCCCCCCCAGCCCGCACCGAGGCCCCACATCGACTTTTCTCTCAACGCCTCCGCTCGCCTCGGCCGCTCCGCTCAGCGCGCGCCCCCCTCGCGCAGATCTTGCCCCAAAGGTAAGGCTCTTCGCCCCGTTTTTTTTTTTTTTGGCATGCAGTGGAAGCCCATGCCAATAGACACCCAATGCCGAATAAGAGAACGTTCGCAAGTGCCTGCTCCTTCTGATCAGAGCCCCTCCCGCCCTCTTGGGAGGCCGCGCCGCTCACCCTGGCCTCCTTCTGGTATACTGGGTTTCGATGGTTTTGCTTTGGAAACCGTGACGTTCCCACTGGGCCCACACCAGAAACCATGTCGACGTCCTGGTGTCTCAGGGCTGGGTTTCTTGTGGAAGGGGTCTTGTTGTCGAGCTCCTACCGTACCCCTAGTGCGGATCTTTGCTTGTGGGGAGCTCGGCCTTCGCCTGAGTGGGAGCGTCCGCATGGCGTCGCCCTGCTCATCTCGCGCGGGTCGTGCCCCACCTGGAGCTCCACCTACGGAGTTGGCGCGTGCGTTCGTATGCTGGCCTTTTCCCAAGCAGGTACCCGCCCACGCGGATCGTGCCCGCGATGGACTAGGATGCAACTTCTGGGAGGTGAAACTCACATTCGTCGCTGGTATATCCGTGGTCGAAGCGCTGCTTGATCCGGCATAATCCAGCTGAGTCGGGCTTCATCCTGACTAGTTCTGCTTCATCTGTTTAGTCTTGCTTACTCCCAGGCTTGATCCAGCCTGAGTTGTCATCTTTTCATTCATAAAATTCGCTGGCAAGTAGTTTGTACACTGTTCTATCAGTCCGATCAAGGTAAGTGCTACCAGGGAAATAGTCCAGCCTGATCCGACTCAGTGGCCCCTGAGTCTGGCTCTGTGGTCCTTTCTCGTTCCGACGAAGATCTCCCAGGAGTTGCCTCCCGGCATGGAGCTGCGCCCACGGTCTCAGGTGGCTCGTTCGTTTGCGCGCTTCCGCCCCACTTCGCGCACCCCTCACGCGGATCGTGCCCGACGGAGAACTCCAGCGCGCCCCTGCGCGGCCGCGTCGAGCGCAGCCCCCAGGAGGCCCCAAGAGTGCCTCAAGAGACTCAAGAGGCCTCTTCTTCCTCGTCCTCCTTCCCCAGGATTGGTCAGGGATCTTCCCTGGGAATCTCCTAACCAAGCCCCGTTCGCCCCCTCCTTGGTTTGGTTAGGGTTTTTGTTAGGCTTTCCGTGGCCATGAACCTCCTGCAAAAATCGTTCCGCCGCCCTCCTCTCCTACTCCTCCTCCTTCTCCTCCTCCTCCTCCTCCTCCTTCTCCTTTCCTCCTCCTCCCCTCCCCATTCCCCTCCCCCTCTCCCTCCTGCTCCTCCTCCTCCTCCTCGTCCTCGTCCTCGTCCTTCTCTACCCCCTCTCCCCCTCCTTCTCGCCCTCCCAGCGGCAACAAGAAATGGTTCTCCTCCCTTCCCCTCCATTCTCCCCTCCTTCCTATTCCGTCTTTCGCTCCAGCGTCTTTGCTTCACCCGGGAGGAAGGGACGAGAACGGTCCGGCGACAGGGCATTTTGCCGACTCCGCCGCCAGAATCTCCGACGTCGGCACTGCTTTGTGGGGGCATCGCTGCGTTGGAGAGCACGCAATCTGCCCACACCGACGAGGAGGACAATGATGATGATGCTGATGATGATGATGCTGATGATGCTGATGATGCTGCTGCTGATGATGACGATGATAATGCTGCTGCTGATGATGACGATGATGACGATGCTGCTGCTGATGATGACGATGAAGACGACGAAGAAGATGACGATGATGATGATTAGGAATCTGACGATGATGCTGTTTATGCTGAGGATTCTGATGCTGCTGATGATGCTGCTGATGATGCTGATGCTGCTGATGATGATGCAGATGACGATGATGACAAGTATGATGCTGATGATGACGATGATGATTATGATGCGGATGATGGTCATGATGCTGATGATGCTGCCGCTGATGATGCTGATGATGACGATGATGATGATGATGATGATAAGGGTTCTTTCGATGGTGATGATGCTGGTGATGATGCTGCTGATACTGATACTGATGATGCTGATGATGATGACGCTGATGATGCTGACGATGCTGATGGCGCTGATGATGGTGAGCACGACGACAATGATGATGATGATGATGATGATGTTGATGATGATTCTGCTAATCACGATAATGATGGCGATGATGATGTGGATGATAATGATGATGATGATGCAGATGACGATGACGATGATGATGCTGATAATGCTGATGATGTTAATGATGATGCTGATGCTGATGCTGATGACGGTGATGATGTGGATGACAATGATGATGCTGATGATGATGCTGCTGCTGATGCTGCTGATGATGATGATTCTGATGCTGATGCTTATGCTTATGCTGACGATGTCGATGACGATGACGATGATGATGCTTGTGATGATGATGATGATGATGATGGTGGTGATGATGATGATGATAATGACTATGATGATGATGATGATGATTATGCTGATGATGATGCTGATGCTGACGATGATGATGCTGATGATGATGACGATGATAATGATAGATGATGATGATGATGCTGGTGATGATGCTGATGATGATACTGCTGATGACTATGATGATGATGATGTTGATGAGGATGATGATGAGGATGATGATTATTACGATGATGCTGACGATGATGATGATGATGATGATGATGATGATGATGATGATGAGGATGAGGATGATGATGCTGATGATGATGACGATGATGGTGCTGCTGATGATGATAATGCTGATGCTGACGATGATGATGCTGATGATGATGACGATGACAATGATAGGTGATGATGATGCTGATGATGATGCTGATGATGGTGATGATGATGATGGTGATGATGATGTTGATGAGGATGACGATGAGGATGATGCTTATTACGATGATGATGATGATGATGACGACGATGACGATGATGATGATGATGAATGGGATGATGATGATGATGATGATGATGATGATGATGATGATATGGTGGTGTGGTGGTGGGTGGTGGTGGTGGTGGATGATGGGATGATGATGATGATGCTGAATGAGATGATAGGATGAGGATGAGGATGAGACTGAGGAGGAGATTGAGGATGAGGATGAGGATGAGGATAGATGAGATGACATGATGAGAGATGAGGAGGGGAGGAGGGGAGAATGGAGGGAGGAGGAGGGGGGAGGAGGAGAGGAGGAAGGAGAAAAGGGAGGAGGATGAGGAGGGAGGAGGAGAGGAAGGAGGAGGAGGGAGGAGGAGGAGGATGAGAGGAGGAGGAGGAGGAGGAGGAGGAGGAGGAGGAGGAGGAGGAGGAGGAGGAGGTGGAGGAGGAGGAGGAAGAGGAGGAGGAGGAGGAGGAGGAGGAGGAGGCGATGGACGAGAGCGAGGCGGGAGGGGGAGGGGGAAGAGACGCGAGCTGGAGCAACCTGCACAAGGCCTGCAGCACACACGACCAGCAACGGCAAGCATCGACGACGACGGCGGTGCCGTCGCCGCCTCGTGACCCTGCCGCCGAGGACCCCAGGCTCGGCGAGGAGCCGCCGCTCGGCCTCGGCGGCCGACGAGCCTGGGGCCGTCGCCCTCGACCCCAAGAGCCACCGCGAGAAGCTGCCGAGGCCGAGCATCGTGGACGCCACAGAGGCGCCCGCCAGGGCCGCCGGAGCTTCGGCCTCCATGCGCTTGGACTCGCCGGCCGGGCCGCGGTTTCGCTGCTCTTCGGCTCGGTTCGATGCACCCGACACCGGTCGTGGCCAGGCGTGGCGGCTAGGAGGGGGGTGATGACCATGGGGGGGGGTGGACGTCATGGCGAGGCCCCGGATGTCGTGGCCCCTCGTCTCACTTCAATAGCGTCCCTCGGCCACCCCATCGGCCGCGCACGTGCCTCGGGCCATGATTCGCGAACCCCTCTCTTGGACGCCGCCCCTTTGGCCGCCCCGGAGGAGACGGGCGCGGATATCAGATTTCGCGGCGGTGTGGGTTTTGGAGGGCCAAGTGTCTACCTGCTTCTAGAAGACCCATATCCAGGGCTTCTGTCGAGTGCCTGCCTCACTTCCTAGCCACGAGCGTCTATTGGCGCACTGGGTGTCGCTGAGTATATCGACACATCCGGGTTGGATGCAGTTTTAGGCGACGCGGCCGTTGCGTTCGGCGCAGTACAAGGTCGGAGAAGATGTAGATCCGTCTACGGTATGTTCCCTTTCAAGAGCAGGTTCCACATGAGCGACGCCAGAAAACGGGTGCGCCCTCACCGACACTGCTGCCCGCGCGGCCCCTCGGCCTCGCCGCGGCAGGCGCTGTACGCCCAGCCGAGGGACGACGACTCCGGCTGCTCCCCGAGCTCCAGGCCGTGGGCCGCGGGACAGGGAGCGATCTCCAGGGTTCCTCCTCCTCCTCCTCCTCCTCCTACTCCTTCCCCTCCTCCTCCTCCTCCTCCTCCTCCTCCTCCTCCTCCTCGCTCCTCGCTCCTCGCTCCTCGCTCCTCGCTCCTCGCTCCTCCTCCTCCTCCTCCTCGCTCCTCGCTCCTCCTCCTCCTCCTCCTCCTCTTCCTCTCCCTCCTCGCTCCTTCGCTCCTCCTCCTCCCGCTCCTCTCCTCGCTCCTCGCTCCTCGCTCCTCGCTCCTCGCTCCTTCGCTCACTCCTCCCTCCTCCCCTCCTCCTCGCTCCTCGCTCTCCTCCTCCTCTCCTTCTCCTCCTCCTCCTCCTCCTCCTCTTCCTTCTTCCTCCTCGCTCCTCCGCTCCTCCTCCTCGCTCCTCTCCTCCTCCTCCTCCTCCTCGCTCCTGCCTCCTCGGGTGGCCTCGGGTGCCTCGGGACATCCCAGCGGCCCGCCGTGCGCCGGGCAGCCGCCGTGCCGGCCCACCCCGCGGCAGCCCTGGCGCTAGCCGCGGCCCGCGGCCGCGCCGGGAGTACACGGGGACCATGACTCACCGAGCGTAGCTCCATATCGTCAGTCGTCCTCCTCCTACTTCCTCCTCCTCCTCCTCCTCTTCCTCCCCTCCTCCTCCTCCCTCCTCCTCCTCATCCTCCCCCCCCCTCCTCCTCCTCCTCCTCCTCATCATCATCAGGACTCACCGAGCGTGCTCCACTGCTCGCAAAATGCCTGCTCCAGATTTCGTGATACAGGGAGGGGGGTCTCGTTTCGGGGGGGGTCTCCTCCAGGCCATCTTGGAGGGCCTTGGGGGGGTCTGGGGACGATGTTTTGGAGGGTTCTCCCACGGGGGGGGGGTCTGAAATGGCTTGTCTTGGAGGGTCCAGACCCCCTCCCTTTTATTACGAAATCTGGAGTACTCGCAAACGTCCGAGAAAACACATGTCTGCTTCGATGTACTTTCTAGTGGATCCCCCCCTGGCGGATCCAGGCCATTTGAGAGTGGTAGGCATTTTGCGAGTAGTGGAACGCGCTCGTCTAATGACCAAGATGTCGCGGGATCTTGTCGCTGCCGCTCTTGGTCGTGGTCCACGGTCGGCCGCCGCCGATCTGCGGGGATGATCCGCGCAGTGGCGCCGACCGAGATCGGCGGTGACCAAGGTCGGCACGACGCTTCCGCGTTCAGTTTTGGTGAGACGCGTGGCGAAATCCGAACCCTAGCCCCGCCTCCAATCGATTCAGGGGAATCGATTCTTGGTGGGGTATGGTTCGGACGTCGCCGTGTAGTTGGGGGGAGGATAGACTCGGGGGAGTGGGGGTGGAGTTTTCGGTAGTTTCCCTCTGTGTGCTCGGGACTTCTCGGGGCCCAGGGTGGTCTCTATCAGCTACGCCTCGTCGGGAGCACTCAGCGGGTGCCAGAATCGTCCCGACTGGCCGCCAGAGGACCGAGTTGTGGCCCGAGAGCCAGGGGGCGGGGAAGAACGGGGGCAACCTTGGGGGGCATGGGCTCAGGGGGGGATTTATCGACCCTCGATCGCCCATCTCATCGCTCGAGAGGGAGATCCTGCGCATCTCGGACTTGTGAGGGCTGCCGCCTAGCCCGCAGCAGCGAACGGCACTGCGGCAGTGAGGCTGCCAGCGAGTCTTGCAGTGAGTCAGGCAGAGAATGCAGCAACAGTGAGGGAGTCAGCCATCGTGGCAAATACTAGGCGAGGCAGTGATTTAACTATCGCGAGCTCAGACATCAAAAACGAATTAGCCCCCGTCACACATTTTACCAGCTGCAGCAGTCAGCAATCAAATCCTCACTCGCTCACGTTCAGGCGCCCTCCTTCTCGACCCTCCATGCTCGCTAGCAGTCTGAGACTCGCCATGTCAATGCAGACAGGTTTAGTTTCGCTGGAGGCCGTGGCGAGAAGGCGACCACTTCCGCGCTTCCCCAGCATGACCACCTTTCCTTTTTCTCGATTCCTGTCGTCACTCGCTCGCTAGAGGCTTCTTCCGCGCCCTGCTCGCTCCTCGTTCCCAAGGTCCCTAAGATACCTCCGAGAGTGATCCAAGAGGCTAAGGAAGGCCTCCAAGAGGCCTGCTATAGGCGCCCAGGAGGCCCCCAGGTACCCTGCCCCGCCCGGTCCTCTCCTGACCCCGCCCCCTCCTCCCCTAAAAGGGGGCTGAGGAGGAGGGGGAGGGGTCGGGGAGGGGGAGGGGGAGGGGGAAAACGAGGGAGGAGGAGGGAGGAGGCCCCAAGAGGCTCCCAGGCCAGCACGGTATACCAGCACGCCAGACCATCACAGCAGACCAGACCAGCAGGGCACACCGGCACGGCAGATGAACGCGACAGACGAGCACGAGAGACCAGCGCGGCAGACCAGGCCAGCACGGCAGGCCATCACGGGAGCCCACCATGGCGGCCCAGACAAGCACGGCAGGCCAGCACGACGGATCAGCACGGCGGAACAGTACGGGAGACCAAACGCGACGGACCAGACGAGCACACACAGCAGCACGGCAGACCAGCACGACAGAGTTGCGCGACAGAAGCCCACCCTCAATCCAGGAGAAACAGGAGGAGTAAGCGGAGGAGGAGGAGAAGGAGGAGAAGGAGGAGGAGGAGTAGGAGGAGGAGGATGAGATGGAGGATGATGAGGAGGGAGGCAGGAGAAGGAGGAGGGGGAACAGGAGGAGGAAA